AGCAGTTCCGTGTCTCTCAGCACGATTATTTCTCTAAATAGCAAATTCCACTTTTACATTTCCCAATGCAACGGCGAGGAGTCCATCCACACATCAAAAAATGCATAACTGTGAACTACTGCTGACAAGGGATGATTTTTTTTCGAATATTTTTATGTACAGTCATGAACATCGGAGGTCATGAACATCATATGACTGTAAAGGTGATAACAACGCGACGTTCATACTGCTTCATTTGGTCCTTTTGGCCGACAGACGGTTCCATTACATTTGAACCCACGACGATTGCACCTGCATACTATTGCACCTACAGAAAAAAAAATTGTTTTACGGATATTTGAACCCATACTAACCTAACCCATGGGTTTTAGCACCCGCATATAGATTGAACCCGCGGATATACACATGGGTTCAAATGTACGGTCATCTCGACAGACATCCCAATGTTGGTAAGCCATATTACTGCCCGTTCTCTTTTTTCATGAGTACCCAAAAGCGGACATCGAAGTTTGGTTTTTATATTTCTTAGCATCGGCAACAAATGTATGTAAGTCTTCTGCCAGGAAGACGTGAATAATTTTTTTCTTGGTAGGAACTGTGTGGAAAACTCGTTATTACGCGGGACGGTGAAGCTGTTTCATGGTCCGCCGGTATAGCCCAGGGGTTCTGCACTCCGACGGATAATAAATATATATTGTTTAGATATAATCGAATAGGTTTTCCACTATTATTCAATTTGCCATATATATATCAAAGTTCATTTTGTTTTGCCATTTTTAGATTTGCTTCTGTATATATTTATAGTTTATACAATTCAGACAATGAAACCAAAGCATAGGTGTTATGCCCACGCAGACCTTTGGAATGATTCATTGAAAGTTCTGCTTCACCAAAAAGGTTGGAAACCACTGCATTAAAAGCAATTAAATGAGTGACTCCTATTTTCAACTGAAAATAACGGAACGCAACCACTAATTACAGTTACACAATTCAATATAAAAAGTCATTGTCATAAATTGAATATTTCGCGCACCAGAAAATTATTATATTATCTTGAACAGTTGCAGTTGAGGAATTTCCGATTTCGAACACCCTAAAATCCTGGTTACCCCCTGAAGACGATAGTTGACTTTCTCATGCTTTCACTATTCTGACGAGAATGCGTTATTTTCGTATTAAATGAAAACTCCTCAAATTATAATAACGTCCGATTCGACGTTTCTGAACTTACAAAAGGGTGTTGGCACGCTTCACGCAAAATAGAATATTTTGCCCAGCCATTTTGCTGACCAAACAGAATCGCGAGATGGCACGACTAGATTGTTCCGTTGCCACCGGACCACATAGCCAAATACGTCTTGATTGAAGCGGAGTGAACTGACATCTACAATTCCTAATCACTGTATTTACCAATGTTTCGCATCCCTGTATTCAGCATGGCGAACTTAACTCTAATAAACACACACACACATGTTCGCGTACATAAACATTGTATAATTTCTTTGATACATCATTATCATCAAATCTATAGAGAACTTAAGAAGAGTATTTTCAATATGCCATGATAGAAAATCATTTCACTTGTAATCGAATTATTAGAATTACCCTTATATTCATTTTAAAATCAAAAACAATGAATTTATTTACAGATGAGTAGTGGGTCCACGAAAAGTATCATAATAAAACAATTATAAAAAAATGAATCACTAAAGCATTCGGCATAAGTAATAGATGATATGTTCTAGCAATATTTTAACAGCGCATTATGCTGTGTAATATTCGTATCGGGCAGGGTATATAGTACATAAATTCAACTAATCACATTCTAAAATAACCGTATAATTTTGCGACAGCTGCTCATCATGTAAATGAATGGAATATTTTTTTGTAATGTTTGCTTTATAATAAGGTACCATTTATCTTATCAGAACTGTGTATAGCAGCAATGACACAACTTGTATACACCACAACAAAAACAAACACAAAATCTTGATCCCAATTTTCACAAGTTTTTTATAATACCTGCTTCTTGAAAAATAAATCCCTAGATTCAATACAAGTGAATGCATTAAGCAGCAATAACAGTTAAAATTCACATACAAATCAAATGAATAAAATGCATCAGCTAATATAATAAGTGTAGCTGTAGCACTTCAAACAACATGCAATACTTTTTGTTAGGATATTAGATTAGATATGAGGGAAATCATAAGACAAGATGCTGAAATCAAAACTTTAAATTTGTTAGTTTGTTTATGATTAAATACAACATAGCCTAATAATCTGCGTTGTTTATTAGAACCGGATCAGATCCCATATCACCAACCTGGGAGACACAGGTGATCTTACATTTTTGATATTTGGGAAAGACTACATTAAACTAAATAGATTCAAAAACATTATTAGCAAATGCAAAGAAACGACACAGATTCATTCCAATAACCGAAGGATCAGCATCAACTGTAGCAGTGTTCCATGAAAATAAATTAAGGAATGTAATGTGTGTTCATTCACACAAAGCATGATTTCTAACATTAAGAATGCATCTGTTGGAGGTCAGCAGAACGGGAATATGGCGTTCAACACCGTGTTAGCTTCATGAAATACTAGAATCCATCACATCAAAACAGTTGTTAAATATCATATCATGCAATAACAAGAGAGGCGCAATTCGGTCATGGAATAGTTAGACAGACAAGCTGAAAATGAGTTGTTATTTGCAGTCAGGTTTGTTAGTCTTGTTCCTCCTGGTTGATGTTTGGTGAGACCAAGAAGGTGAAGTGACAAGTTGGAAAGCAGAAAGTTAGTGAAAGATGACACTCAAACACAACACCGCAAATATTAGAACACATCACGAAAGGTAACATGCGATTTGAGCTTAAAAAGCAATGCAGACACATCATGCCATGATATATATATTTCTTTTTATACAGATTGAAAATTACTGAACAAAAGTAGCTGCATCATCTTCAGAATTGGCATGTTGGTCTGACGCAATTTTACACGGAAAAGTGAAAAGATGTAGAGTGATGTCCACTTCGGGGAAAGTGTTGGTGATTCTACACAGAAAAAGCTACCGCATTGACAACTATTGCAAGTAATCAACTTCCTCCTCAGCTGTATATGGCAAGAAATGTGAAACATCGTTATGAGATAAATATACTGCTGTGGAAATAATTTGTTCAATAATGGGGGCATGTGTGATTGATAGATAGATTCGTGAAATCACTAACAGATAAGAGCTGTGTAAATAATAATTAAAATAACTCAAATTAAAACAGAATTTTGGGAAACAGGGGCATGAATTAAATAAGACTAAATTGAAAGAAAATAAATTAAAATAGTAACTCATTCATAAAATTATTTGTGTGCACGCAGAAGAATATATTATGATTTATAATCAGGAGTATGGCTTCAGAAGAATCATTGGTTTTAATTTGATTTCAGAACTTATGCAAAAAGATCAAATGGATCCTTCTCTGATGTAACAGACTGCTGTGTAGGAGCAGGAGATGAAAAAATATCAAACGGATCAGAAGCAGGTATATTGTTTTGGGCTGGTGTCGTTGACGCTATTGGAGGACCGAAATCTGCCAAAAGCAGTTCGCTATTGGTACTCGGAGTTGTATTGAATGCCCCAAGCAAATCTTGCCCTGCAGAAGGTTTAGAGTTAACAGAGGCATCGCCTGATAAACCAAACATATCAAAATCACTAACAATATTATTAGAATTATTTGTATTCTGAGGAACTACATCTGTGACTGTAGCATTTTCATCATCCTCATAAGGGTAATTAAAATGGGGTCTGTCGTAATCTTCCTCATCTTCACTTGTTTCTACATTCGAGTTCTCTGTGGATTTAACATCACTAACCACGGTTTTCTTGCGAGGGGCAGGATCAGGATTGATCAGATCGAACGAACCACTCATATTATTAGACTGAGATATGTTACCGAAATCAGCGAAGGAATCAGGTTGATTATCTGAAGGCGATAACTGTGGTGGCCCTACAACATTATCAAAACCTACAAAAGGGTCATTTATTTTTTCGGTTGAATTTTGAGGCAATGAAACATCAGTTTGCAAGAGATCAGACAAATCGTCATTTGCATTACCTGTAATGTCCCCAGCTTCTTGTTGACTGGAGGAGGAAAGAGACAATTGCTGCTGAGAGTCATCCAAGTTGCTACTGCTTAAACTGATTCCTTTTTGCTCATCTGAAGATGAAGAATCATCCAAATGATTTCCAACATTGCTATCGTTAGTAAGATCAACCTTTTTTTCAACAGATGTTTCTTCCTTTTCTTTCAAACCATTTTCTGCTGAAGCTTCAATCAACAGGGGACTCTCAGATTGATATTCCTCCAAGCCATTTTGTTCTTGCTTCACTTGTACCGTTTCGTAATCACCTTTCTCATTTTCAGATTCCGAAGAAGAAATTTCTTGCTGTTTTGATATAAAAAAAGATTGATTTAAGTGGAAGATATTTATCATGTAAGGCCGAATTATGGAAACAAAAATAAGATTCTTGTGACTCCCAAAGTTACAATAAGGCAGTTTAAATGAAAAATCAAAAATGGTGTACTTATACTCAATAATATAATTAGCACCATTTTAAACCTCTATTGCCATCGTTTTTGGAAATATTTTTTCAAAAGAATATTTAAAAGAACTGAACAGTCCTGGTATAATTATCCCAATATTTATGAACATATTATTTTAAAGTACTAGGTATCTACAGAAAAGATTCTATTCTAAAAGATTCTCTACAAACAATATGTCAGGTCTAATGTCAGTATTCATAAATGTAAGTTTACTCTTTGACATGTTATATTTATAAATATTGATTATAGTGTAGAACATCAAAAATTGGACAGAGGTCCTCTTTAAAACTTGTAGGGAATACTAGTATCAGGATTACATACCATCGGGCCATTTGCTTTCTACCAATTCACTGTTTCTTTCCTATGTACCACATGAGACCCCAATTGCAATGACACTTTTGGCAATAAATTTAATATGCTTTCATTTCAGCGGTAACAAAATGTAGCAAAGATAATTTACTTCTCCACACATTGAATAAACCGAATGTTAACAGAATATTTTTTATTAGGAAAAATGTGTTTTCTACAGTGTGATAAAGAGTCTTTGCATCCACACTTACAAGTTATTTCAAAATATTTCTCATCATTTTAAACACATAACTAATAATAGTCTGTTCAGTTCAAAAAGGTAAATTACAAGTTGCAATGTATATATATTCTTGTACACCTACCAGAATAGAATAATGATGCAAAAGGAAGTATTTTCATGTGTGGCAATAATAATACATTAAACTTTCTGTGTGGGAGAGACATTTGAATTCCATGTACTACTAATATACAAATCATTTGCCTAATAAAAACATTGTGTTAGCGTATGTAGGATAAAATAAGTTTGAAAAAAAGTGTAAAATACAGCAATTCCTTATGGGGATCCCATAATGTTCAACTCTCATGGGGGCCCTTCTATTGGTTTCAATTTACAAGTCTTAGTCCATCAATTGCTCAAATATTAAAAGCATTGCTTTGTGCACATCATCATATTATTGGGCAATGGATGTTTCCCCAGCATTAATTTCCTTGTTTATTTCTGTAACAATAACCAATCAGCTCTTCTGCTCAGACACTTTGTTTGCTCAGACAAATATTCAAGCATGGTTGTAAACATTGCTTCGTTTTTGCAGGTACAAGTTATTTGTCAGTTTTTAGTCGTGTTTCAAAAGTTAGGTAGTTGTATATGTAAAGTATTTCAATTGTCATTATGTCTACCGATGGGCTTTAGTCTAGATGCAAGAATCAAAAATTAGTCCCGGAAAAGCTGCGATAGACCAGGCTAAAATGTGCTATCAGTACATGTAAGCGTCACATTGTTGTACATTTTAATAAAAATAATGGTTTTGAGCACGTAAATCAGTTGGTAAGTGTCAATTCTCCAAAACATAATTATCCAAATAATATTGAAACAATTATCCAAAATTTTGCGATAGTAAAGTATAGCGAGAATTTTTTTGGGGTCAAGGGTCGGGTAAACATCCACAACAGGCTCACGGTTCATTCATGCCTGTTAAAACTTGTTAGGCATGGATAAAAATTGTGGAAAGAAAATATAAAAAACATGCATGAAAATGAAAAAGTAGAGAAAGAAGGGAAAATAATGAAGCTGCAAGATATTATGCATGATCCCACTGATCATCACTTTCGTGATAAGAATCTACAGTAACTGCAGATATTTTGCGATTCAAATGATCATCTCGTATGTGGAGAAATGCATTGATAGAATCAGCCGATGATGTTAGTTGGCGACTGCTGTGTTTGCTGAATTTTTCCTTCAAAAAATTTTCTTGATCGACTGTCCAGAACGAAAGCTCAGCATCAGAAGCGAGAATTATGTTGTTCTTATTTGCAGCATTCTCGATTGTTGCACCATCATCATGACCAATAACAAAGTCAGGGTATGAACATGTTGCACGAGGGTTTGCTTCAACAAAATCAGGGCAATCCGAAGTGTCACATCCACTCTCTATTGCAGTGTCGTAGATATATTCTTCCACAAAATCTGGGCAATTACCATCCATGTCAAGGCTTTCTCTTGCAGTATCATAAACCAATTCCTGACAATTAGTCATATTTCTACTTTTACTCTGAGCATTTCGGAATTCCTGATCATCAAATGCAGGTGGTGGAGGGAAAGGTTGTTGTACAAAATCTTCATTGGATACCAGGAAAGAGCCCTCAGGATACGAAGGCAAAGGAGGGCTGTTTGTCAGAGGAGATTGTGGAATTACCATTGCATTTTTGTCATCTTGAAAAACAAAATCCTTTGGAGGTAATTGTTTGAAATCTTGAACACACTTTCCATCAGGAGTGGGAGTTTCAGAACGGAGGTGAGATAAGTTCACTCTATCAAGCGAGTGCGTACGTAAAGCACTGGTGTTCAGGCGTGGTCTTGAACTTGTAGATGGCTTAGAAACAGGAGTAGAGCTTCGCGAACCAACTGAAATTCTTTTTCTTCTGTCATCTAGCACATATTCTGTAAGAATTGGATGGCCAGATTCAATAAGTTCAGTTGGCACACCTTTTGTCATCACTGTTACCATTGACGGAAGTTCTTGTTTCACAACTGGAGTATAGTTTAACAAAAGTTCGAAATCTTTTTCATCAATTTCAGATTTTACAGAACTCTCGGATGCTCTTGAATTTACACGCTTATATTTCTTGGCATTATAACAGCTCTCTGGTGGTAAGTTTGTGGTTGCATCATCAGATTCACAGAGAACTTCATTTTCTTTTGTACCAGAGGAAATGTTTTTAGATTTATTTGAAATTATGCAAATATCATGTCCAACGATTTGTGATGGGTGTAATGTGATAGGATTAGATACGTGACAAGATTCAAATGCTTCTCTTTTTTGTCCAATGTTGTAATCTGCTTGAATGTTTTTCAATTCAGAATCAGTTGTTGAACTATCTGCTTGTGGTGCAAGTGGTGCCATTGTGAAAGCAAATGTTTTTGCCCCAACGTTGGATTTTATTGCAGAATACTCTGTTGGATCGATAATCTGTGATGTATGAAGACCAGGACGTTCAACAGATTCACATGAATGTTGTCGTTGAGTTTCTTCTGAAAGTCCATTAACGCTGTCAATTTGCTGAGATGGATGAAGATCTGATCTTTCACCAAGTTGTGATATTGTATTGGTTTCAAATTTATTTCTGAGTGGTTTTACAAGAGCATCTCTACTGAAATGTACTTGCTGTCTTTTTGCATGATTAGAAGAGCCTTCTTCCAAATACATTATAGCTGTATTTTTTACAATTCCAGACATAGTAGGTGAATTAAGAACCTCTGAATCTTCCAACAACTCTCTGCTCATGCACCTGGCTGGTGAATTACAGCGATCGTAATAATCACGACGTTTTTGACGAACTTGTGTCAAGCCATTCATTAAATCTTCATGATAGTTTGTTTGTTGAGAAGAGTGAGGTTCTGACAGAACAAAATCTTCAGGTTCTCCAGATCTTGGTCTGCAGGTGTCAATGTCATCGATGACCTGTGACTGATGAACTTCTGTTCTGTCATCAAGTCCTATAAAATCAAGAGGCCGAGTTTCAAATTGTCCTTTCATTGAACCAAACAAACCAACAGAAGCAATTTTTTCATCTTCTGTCATGGCTTGGGATGAGTAATAACCGGTTTCATTGTGAAAATTACTCTGTTCAAATTTCTCCGCATTTTCTTTAACAAGTTTGTTATCGAGTGGAATATCTTCATCAACCCTCTGAGATCCATGCAATTCATATTTCTTTGCATCTTGCCATTCATTCTTCTCATGACTCTTAAATGACTTCACCATTTCAGAAACATCAAAGTCGACCTCGTCTTTCAGTGGTGCATCAATTCCCTTTTCATTAATCTCACTCAGTGGTTTTGTATTAAACTCGGTCAAAACTTCACCTAGATTCGATTTCCGTCTTCCTCTTGTTACAATCTGAGAGCTGTGTGTTTGTCCATGCTCATATAAAACACCAACAGGAAGAGTTTCGAATAGATTCTGCTTCACTTTAACATGTCCATCCACAGAAACAACATCATCACCAATTATCTGCGACTCATGTCGCGCCACATGTGTAGATTCGTCAGATACACACGCAATCCTGTCAAAATTTTCCAAATTGTCAATTACTTTCTCACAAGAAAGAATTTTTCGGTTGTTTCGTTCAATTCCCTGAAATGCTTTAGATTTGAGTTTAACATGACCTTTGAATAGGCTGACAACAGTGGAAGAAACATTGTTATCGTTAGCAGCTATATCATCATCTACTATCTGTTTATTATCGGTATTGAAAATGTCAGAGTGTGCGTCATTAGGTGCTGAAACAACAGGAGATGAAGATGATAAAGGAAGCAGCTGTTCAACATTGCACGGAAGCTGCTCATCTCTTGCCTGTTCTACAAAATCATGAGGTGATTGGCGATATTCTTCATTGATATTTATATAAGAAGCTTTGAGCATTTCCTTTTCCTGCTGTAACTTCTGGAATATGTAGGTCTCATTCCCAGTAGTATCGGAAGAAAGCTTGCAATGCTTTTCTTCGTGGAGATGATCAGCATATTGTGAAGTCGTCAAATTTTCAGTCATAATGCCTTTGCTGCAAAGAAGCTTTTCATTAGGACTTTTCTGCTTCACACTCAGCTTATCCTCAAGATATTCTGAAGTTTCTATCGACATATTTTTATTTGAAATTGATTCATGAACTGCTGTATGTGGTAGTTGTGCAGTTTGGGTTTCTTCCACAATAATATGTTCTTGCATGTTTTTAGCAGAAACATGTTGTGAGTAAGATTCTCTTGAGGTACTTGATGTTGCTGATTTTTCATCCATTTGACAAATCGCAGTAGATGATTCGTCAGTATTGAAAGTTCTACTAGTCATTTTTTGTGTACTGTAACAATCAACATGTTCAGCAATATTTTGACTGGAAAATTGGTTGCTCAAAACATGCTGCTCTAAAAACTTCTGATCCTGTAATATTTGCTTTGAATACTGCTCTTGATTAGATGATGATGTTGGCAGTTGCTGAACTATGCTTTCATCAAACGAATCAATTTTTCGAAAACTTTCAGTTTCCATGTTGCTACGGTGAATACTGGTTTCAAGGTGATTATGTTGTTCACTAGCATTGTGAAACTCCTCCAATGACTTATAGCTAGACTTGGACTGCAGTATCGTGCCACTTTTTAGTTTTCTTTGCACACCGCATAGCTCGGAATTCTTCACAAGTTTTTCAGAATGATGAGGATCACTGGAGACGACAGTTGGTCGCTTCATTTTACTTGTATCAGTTACAATACTATCAGCACCTAGTGGATCTTCTGTCGCGGAACTTTGGGCTTTCAAGTTTTTGTTATTGCTACCTGCTTTGTTTTTTGGAGCAAAATTAACAACCAAGGAAGAAACAAAAGTGTTCCCAGAATCCATGACAAAAAGAAAGATGAAAGCGAATGAAAAGTGATGAAATGAAGAGGAAGAATATAGTGAAAGAACAGAGCAAGAATCTGAAAGAGAAGAAAAGGGAGAACTTTAATCATGCAAACTCCGAAAGCACTAAATATGTAATTTATGATTTTTGCAATAAGGCTATTCCATTGATTGTAAGGAATTCCCTGTTAAATATTTTAGAAGAAAAATATATGTAACATCTTTGCTGTTAATCTAAGACCATTAAATACCACACTCTCAGTCATTTATTCAAAAAAAGAAATGTCGATGGCCCATTGTATTCTGAGCAAAGCATGATATTTGACAAAGCGCTACAAAAAAAAATTGCTAGTTCTCAACACCACGTTCCCATACTAGCTAGTAGTAGTATAAATTAAGAGACATATCTTAAAAATAATTAATTTCATAATAATAATACCGGTTGTTGCTGCACTTCCTCTTGATAGTCAATCACTTTTGTGTAAGTTTCATACTCTTGCTGTGATTCAGGTTCTAAAATTTTAAAGTTAACTGAATAACTTAAGATACTTTATATTGGTGTAGAAAAGAGTCATCAAAAATTTGGCATATGAGATCACACATAAGATCTAGCGGAAATGATAACAACTAGAAGGAATATCGATTATCATGAATGTTAAAGTAAATTTTGAATGCCAAATGAATCAAATATCCCTGAAATATCCCAGTTGCAACTGAATATTGGTTGGTTTGATCACATTTTTAGAAATCAAATTTGCGTCCTATACAACGCTGGGTGTGACAATTACTAGTATAGCCACATTTTGGAGATTAATACTTGAACTGAACAAAGTAGAAGCTTACCTTCAGCTGTCTTTGTTGACAGATCCTCTGTGATTGCCACTCTCACAGGTATCACTGCTGCTGCTACTGGGACCTGAAAAATGAGTACAACATTACAATATCACCATCGCATCCAATTCAAATGTATGTTTGTTAGAATTTGTTACATTTCTTCTGTCAAAAGATGCAGGTTTTATAGTAATTTTGAAATTTATAATCTATAAAATATAGCTCATCTCGATCTAATTTATACCTTAGGAATGGTGAATTCACATATATGCAATAAGTTTTGATGGTGAATTCTAACAACTAGCTGAAAAGATATCTTACAGATTACCAAAACAGATGAAATAGTAATGATATGCGTAGTTTTGAACATCAAAACCAAGACGATCGAATTAGTTTTAGTGATAAATAATCAGAATATCATTAAACTTTAAAATATAATTTGCCAAATAACCACACCCATCCCTTTACAGCAATAAAAATCTAATTATGTGATTTCATAGCGGAAATATTGTGAAATGCTTCAATAGCTAACAAAAGGTGATGTGAAATACCTTGTAGATTGCAGGATCCTAAGTGAGAATTGAAAAGTTGATAGAAAATAACAGAGAGAAAGAAGAAGAGAACAGAAAAAGATGCAGAACAAAAGTTATAAGAAGATAGCTTATGATAATCCTGGAAAGATAAAGGTTCACATTAAACATTAAAACTGCAGATAAAAGTAATGACTTGTATTGTTCATCACTAAAGCTAAATTATCTATAATATAACGAATATCTACGGAAATTATGGAAGCTGCACAAAGCATACTAGCATGACAATAGCATGTGCCATTAAAGCCCATTCACAACTCATCCTACTGATTGAACCTATGAATATATTCTTCCCTACAACATGTCAAACAAGCCTTTTTTCCCTTCTACAGAAAAGGTGAGATACATCTGCTCTATAGCAGATGTCAACTGACCCGAATAATTTGAACATGTAAGTCAAACTTCGCACTCCACTTTAACAGTTGGTGGTGTGGTTGATCAAGCGTGAATTGTGAATACAACATAGGGAAGCAACCATTGCGTAAACTAGTATTCTAAAAGCGCTAGAAATGTCACGTATCACTGCCGCGCGGCGAACGCAAATATCGAGAATGTGTCTTCGCTGAGATCAGGTCAGAGGTTTTTGCAGAGAAGCGCTTTTGTCAATTAAAAAACCATGCTCACAACTCCTACTTAATTGACGTCCCGTCCTGGACATTTCCTTGGCACCCTATATTCGAGTTTATTATTCTGACAAATTTGAAAGTTTACTAATCCATTGTCACTTTGGGGAGAATTTGAGAAATTGTAAACCCGGAAATATCGTGCATGGAGGCTTACTTTAAAAATTGGTTTAATGACCAGCATGATAGTTCCAGTCGCCAAAGTTCATAACTTTCATCAGACTGAATCAAGTTATTGCGTTTAACTATTCGGGTCGCACGAACCTTCAAATAAGCAAACTATCATCGAGCATCAATATGACATTTCGTCAGCTTGAAACTAATTTAAATCTCAATTTTTTCGTTATCAAAAGAAACAAGAGTAACAGCGAAGAACAATTACGGAACGAAAAAACGAGTAAGAGAAACGCCGTTTGACCTTCTTATATACATTTATTGATCAGAATATACGGAAATTGCGAGATTTGGATTCCTTAGCTGATACGTATTAAATTTCACTAAAATTTACAAACGATGAGCAATAATCGAGCAAACCGCCACAACATTTCCAAAATTCAGACGCGTTACTTGACTTCGTTAACTTACGACAAATCGTTGGTACGGCAAGTAACTGAGATTTATTAAACTTACAATAATGGCACTTTATATGAACCGCACAGAAAGAGTTAATCGTCTAATACGCGGTTCAATGTCAACCATCCTAAAATTTATAAAAGGGAAGATTTTGGAATAGGTCTCTAAATTTGATCAGCAGTAATTAGAGATTATGTTGAACGGATGTCAACATGTGGTACTCATCATGTTTTGCGCAGTGCAGCGTAAAGAAGAAACGCGTGACTTCATCAGAAAGAGAAAAAATTCTTCATAAGTCCGTACACAGCCGTGGTTCTCAATCTGTGGTGGTACACGGAAGCTGATCAAGTGTTACGCGTGCAGCTTGAATTATTGCAACAATTAACTTTTTGAGTTGGCCAAAATATGCCGACAACGTTTTGTCTTCCATACTGTATGTATTAGCTCAACCCTGAACGGCCTTTATAAATGTTTCCCCGGGCATCAATTTCCTTGTTTATTTCCGTAACCAGTACCAATCAGTAAACATTGCCTCGTTTTTGTAGTTTTGCGTGTTATTTGTCAGTTTTCAGTTGTGTTTCAAAAACTAGTTGTGAATTAAATATCCTAATAGTCATTATGTCTTCAAAGTAGCTTTAATTTAGTTGCTGTAATCAAAAATCAGACTAGTCTAAACTGAGCTATCCGTGCCTGTAAGCGGCACATGGTTGATTATTTTTAATACAAATGAGGGTTTCAAACTTCGGTGGTACGCGGCTGGGCTAAATAATAGTAAAATGTTATGCGGTCAGTAGAAGATTGAGAACCACTGTTATACAGTATAGCAGATTTGCACCAGACACGAATAGGTTTCAGTTAGAAGTTTAGCGGTATTTCATTCAGTGCATTTTGATAAAAAAAAAATACGAAAATTAATGCGAGCATCATAATAGTCAATGCCGTGGTTATAATTCTTATATGGAAGGACAAGGACAAGCATGATTAAAAATGCAAACAGCTAAACTATTTGCAAAAATGTCTAATTTGGGAAAAATAGAAACAAAGCGCGGGAAAAGTTTTCGCCTTTTATCGCAAACAGCGTTCATGATACTTGTTGTAACGTTTAATGAATAAATATATTATAATGCATTATAATGTAACTTTAAAAATTCCAGTTCGTTGATAATTACATTACTTAAACAATAAATCATGGGGAAAATGACATTGGGGAAAATTAGAAAAAGTTTTTCACAGAACACATCATGTCATGGATTACCTCAAATGTACGTCAGTACAAACAAATATCAACGAGTATTCTGGGGTTTGACGACACTGGGCGTGTTCGCGATATTGGTGGCAATGGTAAGTTCAACATTGTACTGTTTGGACACACTAGATTGAACATTTAAACCCCACAGAAATATGTGTATTTTAGTTTTGTATGCAGAAGTTGGACGATGAACTTAACGGGTCTAAAGGTATGACAAAGAAAATTCTAGTTCTTGTCGAGCAATGTACACTCGGAAACTGACAACTGTGAACGCAAAATAGAGACGCAACAAATAGCGGTTACAAGGCTGTATGGCGCATTTTATCAATAACAGTTACACTTTAGACCGGTACTTCAATGTTTCCGAATCGGTAGACTTCGGTAATCAATTAGCCTATTCAAGGCCGAATAAGGGATACAAACCAATTGAGGATGGAAACAACACGGAACTAATTGTTGTGTTATTTAAATCATGCAGCCAACCCAAAATTTCTGAAGAATTGTTGAATAAATTTAGAAATGCGACCGCTTCCATACTTTCATTAGACCCCATCTAAAAAATGGTGTATTATTCCTAAAAGCTCAACCTATATGCCGACATGATGAAATCTAAATAAGGAATATTTTCAATGATCTAACTGCATAAGCAGGCACGTATTAGGGTGGGTATTCATATTTTCCGTCAGTCAATATTATCAGAACTTTCCAAGTCAAATAATGAAATTTTTCATGAAAATTCGGAAATATAAAATTGCTTCCCGATTTCACGGATGCACCGTCTGTTGAGCAATATAAGTCATTCACGTGGAACTGCGGAGTTAACAAAGCTTGACAGAATAACGCCTCCTATACTATATACTGTACTATAGGATCACATATCCACAGAAATCCAAATCTGACAAATTCTTTTTTGAAATAATCCAGCTCACGATCAGAATTATGGAATACAATCAGAACAAAACGACCACAACATTTTCGGAAAAATACGTCGAAAAAATGGATTTCCCCGCCATCACAATATGTAACTTTAACAAGTAAGCACCGTCGTTACTTATTTTTGTTTTAATATGTAACTGTCTTTCCCAAGTGAGAGACATATACAGGTCGCAACGACACGCTTATGAGCTCGAATGTTCCTAAATTCATCCTTGCACACTATTTTACAGCTTTTTCAACATCGAAGAAGGAGAAGAACGTGATGCTATTGACGAATTAGCCAAAGCAAAAGCGAGTGGCACTCCTATTGATTTCGAGAAAATTGAGGTCGCAAATCTCAAGTGTACATTCTTTCATCTTTGCTCTCCTTCATATCATCATTAACACCTCGTTAAACAAGGGTTGAGATGATGAGTAAACGTAAAGATAAAATACATGTATAACCCACATTCGGAATAGAGATGCACCGATACCGCCAATATTTCAATATTTACAGTTAACATTATGAAATAATGATAATGTTAATAATAATGTTAATGTTAAGCCTTAAGAACAGGTATTCCAAAACATGGGAAATTGATAATAGTGATTCATATGCAGATAATACACAGGTGCAAAAAAAGCCGCGTTCGATCTGCATAACATATTAACTGCGGTTATAGTATTTTCTGTAATTGTGAGGAGTTAACATTAAGGCAGCGAATACCGCGAACATGATCTCTCCACTGCAAAAACAAATTACAGTCATCACCATCCGTATACAAACTTAATTTTTAAAACAGTCAAGATCGGTCTAATTAAAGTCGAGACAGATACAATCGCCGATATAACAAAATGGCTGATATTCCCGATACCCGGTATATCGGTACATCTCTACTTCGGAACTAATATATACATAGTACGTATAGAGTCTCTGTCATTAATTTATGGACATCTTGCAAAAGGTAGTATTAAATCCAGAATACAAAACTTGCCAAAAATCTACCTTTTCCTGGATTGCCGCATTGTATACTTTGGTTACACTTTCTATTAAACATATAACAAGTTTGTTACCTCATGTAGTACTTCGACACGGTCTACAACGGTTCAATAAGAGAGTTTGCCATTGAAAAAGGATGGCAAATGGACGAAGATACTCTAGTTTACTGTTTTACCGAAGATGATGAATGTTTACCGGTCAGTATATATACATTTGGTATATCTACGATGACATAAACTTCCTACTTTCCAATATATGTAGAAGCAATATGAACAAGACAAAAGGTTGTCATTCGACAACCAGTGTATTGGTCCTTCAAAGTTTCGAATTATACTAGAAAATTATTCTGAAGAAATCGTTGTTCGATGCTAAAAGAATGTATGAGATCGATGCCAAGCTTTGCTACAAACATGACAATGTCCAAGATGAAAACAATTCATAAAGTGTCGAAATACCTGTTAAGGACCGGCTAACAACATATATTTCTAAAATTCTGTTTAGCATATTTTTCGTATTTGCAGCATAATTTCACATACAGTATAACAGAAATAGGAAAATGTTGGACATATAAAAATCCTCCAGCAACAAGGCGAGCTGGCACTCATCATGGAATATCAATGGTTTTCAATATACATCAAGTAAGATGGTTTGAGTTGTTGTATTACAAACACGAGTTGTTCACTTGTGTTGACCCTCTTTGGCTGAGATTGACGTCAAACAATATAACCCAACTTACCAATTCTTAACAACGCTCATTACAGGATGAATATTCAGAAAATGTGGGGTGGGGAAATTGGGAAGCCGGTGTCAAAGTTCAAATACATTCGCCTCACGACGTACCGGAAGTGGATGAACTCGGGTTAGCAGTGCCTGTCGGTTACATGGGATTCATTTCTGTAACTAAAAAGGAGGTAAGAAACAAATGGTATAGCTGGGTGAACCTGTCATCCTGTTCAGTCTGTATCAATACGTCGGGTAAACCCAATGTATTCGTATTTATAGGAAAAGATAATGTATGAACCGTGGGGTGGATGCCAACCAGACAACGAAGAGTTGCATTTTTATGACACCTACAGCAGACCAAACTGCTTCAAAGAATGTTTCCAAAATGAACTCGAAGGTATTTGCTTTTAACTGAGCTCAGCACTTGGGCCTATGATACTTCTAGACTAGAGCAATGGTCGGCAATCTAAATGTACTCGCGGGACGAATATACACATTTCCGGTAGCGTGCGGGCCGCGCATTAATTTCTGCCTGCGAACAATCACCACATTAAACTTCAAATTATGGCGCAATCGCAATCTGTGCTACAGTGAGACGTTTATGTTGCCTTTTTCAATATATTATCAAACAACACGTTATTTTTATTTACTTGATGTTTTTCTCTGTGTCATGGTCAAAGCGTTGAAATCAAATGACAACATTGTTGCCCCGCATTACGTCGTCCAAATGACAATCTGACAAGCGAGTACGAAACTTATTCTACGTGTAATACATTACAGATAAAGCTGATCACAGCAATATGTGCTGTCGGACGTGCACATTACTCCGTTTTTCACTATCGCAACGTGGGGCGTCGGGGACGAATTGCGTATTCGCAGTGACACGTTCTGTAATGACGCTTAACATTGAATCCCTTAATAATTGCGATGCCGGCATATCAAGCAAACTGGTTTTGAAATGCGCTAGAAAGTAAAATTATTTTCCGACCAAGCACTTCGGAATGTTCGACCCCCAACGCGAACTTCCCTCCGTTACCTGACATTCTTGGTCTTAACAACCAACATAAGTAAACGACATACAACTGACGCTACAAAAAAGCGCCATCAGCTGCATTTGTTACGGCGCAAATCCAAGTCGAGAAAACAATAAATTTATAATCAATTTTTGTATTAAGCATTTGAAGTCGGGACGTTCGAGGGCCGCAAAAAAATTAGTTTGCGAGCCGCAGTTTGCCGACCCCTGTTCTAGACTTAGAGTATAACAACTTGTAGTGATCATTCAACTTTCGCATCTCATTTTTCATGCCTGCTTTTCTCCCAGCAAAACGGTTGGTCATACGTAATTTATGTTCTTCAGAATACTGCGAATGTAAAATGTATTACTCTGAGAATCCATCGTTAACGCAAGAATGCACACCCAGAGAAACAGTAGATTGTCTCGTGAACATCAGTTGTAAGTCATAATAACATACAATTGTTTCGTTTTCTTCAGTTGTCTCAAGGTTTAATGAATAAAGTGTATACTACAATTAAGGGTAAGCGATTACTTTTCGGTCTTGACTCAAAATGATTTCGAAGTCTCGGAAGGCGTACAGTCAGGCCCTAACCTCGTGTTTGTGAACGCATGATGATGAAATGTGCCAGCTGCTAACTTCACGTAAAAATTCATACCTCACACATTCACTGCACTTTTTATCTTACTATAGGTATTTTGTGCGAGGCGCGAAATACCCCAATAACACCGACAGACTTATACATAAGTAGCCATTTATGGTTTTATTTTCATTTTCAAAACAGATTTTGCTCGGAGTTATCTTACACCTACAAATTGTGAATGTCAGCCACCATGCCACAGTACGGTGTATTCGTCATCAATATCATATGCCAAGCTTCCCAATAAGGTAAATTAAAAGTGATTATGTTTTTGAACGCGTGGATAAAATTGGGAAATTAATAACAGAATGTATACTGTAAAATTGAGCAGCGCGATGTTCAAATCCTAGAATTGAGGTGAAATTAACTCACTTCCGAGGGGATTTTCTGTATCTGATGCCCAAATAACAATATGTTTCGACAGGCGGTAGAAGATGATGTAAACGAGGGCCAAGTTTCGGATCTTGCAGGTATTAACGTGTATTTTGAGAGAATGAGTTATACAATACAGGAAGAAAGCAAGGCCGTGACCAGGACAGGACTTCTAAGTGAGTTCGTGGTTGGAATTCCAAAATATCTACAACTACAAAACATCTACAAATACATACAAAATATTAACAAAATTTATTTAACTTTTTGATTCGAATTTCTATCCACTTATCCAGGCGACCTCGGAGGACAGTTGGGTTTGTGGATCGGCATCAGTATTGTGACTTTATTCGAATTCATACAATTTCTTCTCATGTATTGCTATGAAAGCATAGCAACAAAACTAAGAAGGAAGAAAGGATCGCAGACATCTAACGCAGCTCAGAGTACAACAAATAAGAGTGACACAAGACTTGGCTTCAGTCAAGATAATGTTTAAAATACTCAGTCTAGGCCAGGGATGGCGAACCACTGACCCGCGGGTCACAAAGTGACTCACTCAAAGTGACTTTTTTCGGTGACCCGCCAAGGCACGAATGAAATAAAAACATACTAACTTGTAAGTGATAAAAATTGATAAAACCGGCTTCAAACAAAGTTAACAGTAAGTAGACTACATAATGTAACGTCAGTTGGGCAGCCAGACCTGCGAACGCTCAAATTCAAATTTCCGGATCGGTATGGTAATTTTCGGAACTCCCAATCTTGGACGCACGTGTTCACACATGTATACCTATAAGCAGCTATTGGCTGTGATATGGTTTATGACAAAACAATCAACTTGATCTGTTCATTTCTCGCAACGTCTTATTACAGCGTTCGTTCACATGAACCAAAAAGGTACTGCAGAGTGCAGACTGTTTAGTTCAGGGTATACGAAAACTAGATGCTACTTCGCGTTCATTAGTTTCTCGCCTACAATGTCGTGGAGAAAACAAAATTTGTTAGTCCCAAAATGAGGACCTAGAAATCTGAAATAACAATGGGGCAGTGTGAAAGTATACCTTAATGTGGTTGAAAGCCAATCGAAAAATTTAACTCTTATCAGAGTGGAATTACCTTCAAACTCTATGGCGCGCAAAATACTTTGCCGCATCATTCTAAACGTATTTGGGTAATTCATATGCGTGTTTTTGAACAAGAATTTCATAAAATCGAGTGTCATAAACAGTCCAGTAGTCTCTGGTAGAAGTGCTGCATAAATAAAGCCCAAAACTACACAACACCAACCGAAGCTTATAAGATTTGAAAGATAGGATGCAGCAGCAAGTTTCTTATTAATACTAACATTGATAATATATTTGTGACCCACACTCTTCTGTTCCGTGATTAAAATATAATTTTTGACCCATTCGTCGGAAAAGGTTCGCCATCCCTGGTCTAGGCAATGTACATTACTGGGTAAAATGAAACTGTTATTTGAAATAGATAAGAATACAATTGAAATGGAATCTACATGATTTATCTCACAATATTCATGTAGAATTTTAGAGAGATTAGCAGTAACGCGGTAAATTCATTCATGGTAAATGTTATCGCTATTATTATTTTGGCATTCCCGAACCACAAATTTGTCTGTTACAACAAATTTTTCACTGTAAATTGTACTTTGAATGTAGAACACCAAGGGGAGTGGGAGACAAAACAATGGTGAGAAGATAATAGACTATATTGTGGCATACGATATTAAAGACGGCTGGCCACATCGGCCGGATTATTTAGTAAAGAACTACAAAAAGGTAGATTAGTTAAGGACAACAAATATGCCAACTGTTACCAACATAAATTAGACAACGTCTGACAATTTAATCCAGTGAGAAACTGAGCGTTTAGTATTTTCTCGGTGTTATGGAGAATTCTACGAAGAACTGACAATCGAGCATATTACGTGCTAGCATATCAACAGGTGAAAATAATCATTTATAAAAATACTCGTAATGTCTTGTTTGATCTAGTTCAAAAAATGCAGATCATGTGATGATTTAAAATAACCGATTATTACACGATAAACGATCAAATCAACGAATCTTTTTTAATCCATAGTGCCCTTTATAAACGCGTGGTTATTAATAATTAATTTTAACTGTTAAAATGGTTGTTTTCAATCTAAGAATACACAATGAAAGGTGCTCGTGAAATTCAAAGCTTACTATTTCTGGCAAACTCGTTCACGTGACACGGAATTATTGAAATACAATAATAACTTTCGGTGATTCATAATTATATATAGGGTTTCTTTCCGAGTATCTTGATATATTCTTAGTGGATGCACTGTCGTAGACGCTGCAAACAAGTCAAAGAATTTAATGCTAAATAAGGGGTCGCAAAAATGAAGTCGGATGTCGAGCACAAATTGAAGGAATTTTCAGAACGTACAACGTGTCATGGAATCGCGCAGATATTTTCCAGAAAGAACAGGGTACATCGATACATTTGGATCTTGTTGGTGATCGCTGTGGTTGCCACGCTCAGCAGTCAGGTAATATTTTAAACTGCCTGGCTTGCATCGCCGTTCTCTATAATTTTAAAATTATTTTACCAGCTTGTTACACGTGTGATGCAATACGCCATGTTCAAGACAACAACAGTTATATCAGAAAAACATGTTTCTAACTTACAATTTCCATCAGTCACGGTCTGCAATTTCAACTCGTAAGTAGACGTTTGGATTTTTAATTTTAGACATATACTGTTTGGAGCAATTGATTATCCGCTATTCCGAGGAGATTCCGTGTATGTACAAAATAGGGTCCTCCCGTAGTATGTGAACTAAGATGGCGGACACCGGAACGTAGTGTGTGTACAAGGTTACGGTTAGGCCATAATTTTATTTCAATTTTCCTTATGTTAGTTCTATTACGAGTTCGGAGACTAGCCAAGTGATTCCCGCAGTATTTGTACCTGAAATTATGGCCTAACCCTAACCTAGTACACATACTACGTTCCGGTGTCCGCCATCTTGGTTCACATACAACGGCAGTACCCAAAATAGTAGGCAAAAACCAAACAAAAGAGATTAAAACAAGTGACCGTGGTGATAACTCCTGGTATACGCCACAACAGCACAAATGACACCAACCTTAGTTCTGGATTATGTCTCAATTCCAAATATATCTGAGATCATGTGATGGTGATAACAACCATGTTATTTAAAATCGCAGATTGTTTAGCGTAACAGAAGACTACGAGTACCAGGCAGCCACACTGCTGTTAAAGGCTAAAATAGGCTACATACCCATAACAACTAGTGGCGATGGTTTTGACGGCGATGACTATAACGACAATGACTATAACGACAATGACTATAATAGCAATTACTATAATGGCGAGGACTATTACACCGATGGATTCAAGGTACTACTCACTAACCATTATCAATTTTACACCGCCTGATATTCTATAATATATTTTTTTTTAAATGCAACGCACGTAAAACAGTAAAAGCGGGAAGTCTCAAATGAAAAATAAAGTAAATGAAATATTTCAGTTCTTCGGCAATTACAACAATTCTGTGCTTGATTATATGAATATTAAAGGCTGGCAATTAGACGACAAGACTCTGAAATGGTGTACATATGGTCCGCGGAACTGCACAATTGTGGGTATATATAAATAGGTATCTTTTACAAATCCATAGCAATGAATAACACACAAAGTCACTTTTTGTGGTCAATTGCATTTCTTATACAACAGGCAAATTTCACAAGCCGCTTGACAAACATGGGAAAATGTTGGACGTTTCAGACTTCCATTCCGACTTGGAAACCGGGAAGTAGAAGCGGGTTGTCTATTGGCCTTGACATTCAAGAGGTACTTTATCAGCATCAAATGATATTTTCAGACTTTTTGACTTTCGTTAAACGACCATGCATTCGCAGGACCAATACTTCTTATCGTACGAGAAATCGAGCCATGTGATAGGAATAAGAGTTCAAGTTCATCCACAATACGAGGAACCACAAGTCGAGGAGTTGGGGCTGGCTGTATCGGGTGGAAAGCGCGCATTTATCTCTGCACATCAAAGCGAGGTGGGTTTACAGGTCGCAACCAGCACAACTTAATGGTATCTCCCAATTTGAAATAAAATCTAAACGAGCGAGAAAGGAAGAAGACCAAAACTACGTGCACGTTTCTATGTAATAATTGTATTTTTGTAGCGTATGTAGTAATATCGCTGCATATGGATAAATTTGGTGTCTTTTAGTTTCAGACTATTTCAAATCTGGGTAAACTTGAACCTGGATTAAAAATTGATGCGGTGTACAATTGATGTTTTAAGAGAGGCATTATCCTTGGGATCAGTCTCATACTTTCCATTTCAGATAAATCTGATGAAAAAGCCTTGGGGAGAATGCAGACCAGAATCAGAAAACTTGAACTATTTTGACACATACAGCGTATCTAATTGTTTCAACGAATGTTGGAGGAAACGCACTGGTTTAAATTAGATGACTTGCCATTACTTATACTGCTATTTCAGCTTTACCAATACGTTTTGTAGTTTCATGCAATACAAAAGCTATATCATTTAAATTTGAAAAATACCAAAAGACGTTAATTTGCGCCTAGAGCTTTATATTTGATGCCATGAGGTTGTGGTGGAATAGGTGGATCCCTATTTCGAGGAGACGAACAAAATGGGTCGACGTTTTGGGGATTTCATTTATATTTCAATAGAATTTATTATTTTGCTGAATTCAATTATCGTTAAAAAATCCTAAATGGGAAATGGCCTATGTTTAGTGAGATTCGGAAAAAATTACCACGTAATTTTAATAACGAAACAACGAGTACTCAAATTTTTACTTTCAATGACTCTCGTATCCAACTATAGGTTCTTGTGGATGCGGAATGTATGACGTTGGCATGGATAAGAAAATTGTTTGCGACCCTCAAGAAACAACAGAATGCATAGCAAAAGCAGGTAAAACTCTGATCGTTCTTACAAACTAGTACTTTAATGTCCAGAATTCATAGGGCGAAACTGATTAGCGTTGCATTACGCAAATACAAGCAAATTGGCGATTTGATTTACCTCAGTTTCCAATGCCATTGCGAAACAACATGTATGAATTTCCATTTCACACTGTTTAAAAACAATTATGGTATGACATTTCACATATGTTCCATTTCAGCCATTCTGCAACGAAAGCTCACTGTCGAAAAGTGCAATTGCCAGCCTGCGTGCAAAACTACTGACTACATGACAACGATTTCATACGCTGATCTACAAACTTCGGTGAGGACAATTTTGTTACTTTATAAAAAGAATGATAATGTTATGATAATGTAACGTTTGAATCATCTGTTGCGAGAAATCTGTACATGAAGCATGTCACTTTCATACCACTATTTTTACCTGGAAAGTTACGCATTCCGAATTCATTTAAAGTCTTAAACTAATGTCAGAACATCGCACTCCAATAGCAATTCCGTTCGTCTTCAAATCTGACATTTTAATTCAAGTTACTACCAACGCCCTACGCAAAAAAACGAAATGAATATATATAGCTACTGGAGTTTATATTCAAACAGAAGACAATTTCGTTAATTTCCAGCCCGATTTCGAGCAATTGCATTAGCGAGTTTTGACCGAGCTAAGGGAAAAAATTGACCTAACGAAAATTTTTTTTACAACAGGATTGGGTAGATTTGACCAATGAAGAGGGATTCACAGAATATATATTGAAAAACATCGTTGGAGTCAACGTCTTCTTCGATCGAATGAGTATTACGAAACAAGACGAAAGTGAAGCAACTACATTCACTGCATTTCTAAGTAAGTATAAAGTATGCTCAGAAAAGATGTATGTAGATTGGATATCAATAGACAAACAATAATATTGATGCCCCATCCCAGTTATCCCTGCGTAGGGCATTGCCCAGGAAACGCTAGCACATGTCGGATGTCACCAAAGTATGACTAAAGAACATAAATATAGATTGTTTTCATCTGCTAATCCCGTGATTGTAACTTTTGGCATCTGCTTTATCAGGTGACTTGGGCGGACAGCTGGGCTTTTGGATGGGGATCAGCGTCTTGACTGTGTTTGAATTTTTACAACTATTGTTGGAAATTTGTAAGAAGGCAATGAATCATACAAAAGCTTCATCAAGCATGTCGAAGACTAAAGTTATAAAGTTGAAAGAAACTGACTAACAATCACAAGACTTTCTCCTGGGCGATTAAGCTTTAACCTACAATATCTAAAAACCATCTTTTTATAATATTTTATTCCTAACTGGATCAGTAGTCTGAATAACAAATACTTTCCTAGAATACAAGTTTTTTAATAGAAGATCTAATACCAGGGACTGAAAATAGAAAATGGTGAATAGAGAAAAACGCACATGATGAGTCTTCCATGCATTGGAAATAAACTACGGTAATGCATCTATACCTAATGAGAACAAACTTACATAAAATGTGATTGTCTCTACGCCCCTACACCATGAACTTAAAATATAGTATGAGCGAATATGTCATGTTCCTATGCAGGTACTGTTTTTTAGCATAGGAATTCTGTTATTTATAATTATACTACGGGAACTTCTTTATAGAATACGATTCGAATTTATTTTGATTTGTAGAATCATCTCAAGATTCCATGCTAAATAGAACAAACATATGATCAGCATTTGAGAATGCATTCACACTATTGAAGATATTTCCGGCGCAAATTAGATTTAAAGCAGACATGCAAAATCAAACATAATTGATTCCAGAAAAATAACTTTCTGGTTGATTGAAACCGTTTCTGCACTTGCTAAGCAATCAAGAAAGAATTAAAGAAGTATTGTAGCTCACATCATTATTAATGAAGAACACCATAATGGGAACCTTCAAGAATAAATTGTTTTTTAAAGATAAAGAAATGAATTATTATCAAACCTTTTCTTCATTTTCACTTTCTTCATGGAAAACCTCCTCCTTCGTCTCTTCAAGTTCCTGCTGGTCCGAAACCTCAACTTCACTTTTTTCTTCTTCCTCTTCTTTTTCGACAAGCTCTTCAGAGGAAACCGATTCACCTCGTTCTTCGATAGTTTCACTGATCACTTCACGAGATTCTTCATTACCTGAATCGTCATCATGTTCTAATATCGCTTCTCCTTCTGTGTCAGTTGGTTCGGTTTCTGATTCGCTACTGCTTTCTGCTTTTTCCATTGTGGTTGTTGTTGTTGTTGTGACAATTTCATCAACTGCTTCATCTTCATCATCAGACTGTAGTGTCCCAGTGTAATATTGTTTTTAAATCAAAAATTTGGAAATCAGAATACAGAGATCTTTATTAATTAAGAAATAGAATCACCAAGGAGATGGTAATCAACAAGCATGCAAATCAAAATCAGAAATCAATTTTTAGCACAGATTAAGTCAATCTGCAACTTTGGGGAGAATAGCTGAAGGACAATGTTAACATATAGCCTACTATAGTAAAAGCATTCAAATGGCCAATTGAAAGTGCATAAGTAGCATTTTCCCAGCAGTATTGGCGGACAATGCATTAGGTTTTCCAGCAAGGTTAATCTTTGTGATATTAAGTTCACAAAAGTTTTCCTCAGCTTTGAAAACTGATTACAAACTTTTCAAAGCTAACATAAATCAGACAAGAAATCAAAAGTTTGGGATCCCATACAATTAAATGTAGGTTTCATCCAAATACTTTATTTTATTTGGGATTGAATTTTTTCAAAGAAGGCAGTTTGTTCGAGTCATAAGCGCAGCCAAATACCATAATCCACACCTTTTTCTGTTTAACAGGTCGAATACACAAATGTATTGTAGTAATTTCAGTTTTGGTTGTTTTTGAGACATTTCTTGGAGGCCGTACTGGCATAACTAGCACTTCCCCAGAAGTTTGACTTAATCGCCTCTGAAAATGTGTTATGAGGAATTTTTCAACACTTTAATTGCATTTTACAAATATTTAAAAATTGCTCTAAAAAACTTTCAATTTACTATTACTAATGAACTGAGCTTAGTATAAGCTTAAGTTTTACCTTTTGAACTTCTTCTTTAACTTCCTTTTCCTTTTGAATTACCATTCTTGATTCCTCTTTAATATCAATTGGGTCTTTCCGTTTGTATTCTTCAGTTTCCACAGTTTCAGTATTTTCAAATTTTTTCTTAAATGTCCTGAAAAATTGAAAATTTGGTTAGAACAAGTTAGTCATATCAATCTCAAATTGAATTCAGTCACATGAAAATCTAGGAAGTATCAAGCTTTATTTATTAATCAATTATTTTATTAATCAAGCTTCTCACTTCTGACAGTTGTTGAAAAGTAATGACATACTCATCGTCCGTGAAAATTTTATTTTATCACAATTAAACATACCGGTTATTTTTTAAATGTAAGATAAATCAAGGAACACTCCGAATAAATCACATACATATATAGAAAGAGAATAAGTTTTGCCTGAATATTTTATTTTCCGAGTCTAAAGCTGCTAATATATTGGTACAAAAAGTCTGACTTTCGTAGAGAAATATGTTACAGCAATAAACCATTGTAAGTGCGATGATCTTTTTATATGTATTATTCTCACTTGATATCTTTTGATGAATTTATCTCAACAATCTCTTTTGTTCCTGCTGGCTCTGGACGAACAACTTCTCCATGAACCTCCCGTTTCTTTGGAGTTTCCCGCCTTTTATAATAATCATGATAAACCATATTGCTTAAGAAAGTTTTATCTCAAGTATGTAATGCATGAGAAAAGTATACATGATAAACTTATGGTGTCCAAAGGTAACCATTTCCGCTGCTGCCAACAAATCTATATTGGGAAGACACTCCATCACTGTCAGACTGATAAATAATGAAATCTAGAATAGAAGCATTAATGAATGACTTACTTAGTAGTGACTGGCACTGGTACTCTTCCACCTTCAAATAATGATTTTGTAGATTTTAGGTCGACTTGATAATCAGGATTTTCTCTAGAACCAGCTTCAGTAGTTTTAACCTTTGAAATCAAACATACATTACTATAGAAATGTATGTATAAAGTAACACATAAACCACAATTTTCAATATAATGACTTGAAACTGGAATGGACCAGATGGTTAGTGACAAATTTGAGATTTGAATTCATTCCTTCAAACTAAGTTCCCTGACTGCAATGTAGAAGTGAGCTATTTGGCTTGTTAGAAAAATCCTATTTGCTTCCAGATAAATTTATAACAATATTGTTCAATACTGACAATGAACATACTAACAAAACTTTTCTACATTCATTGGTCAAGAATAAGTACAATCAGCATTTTTCGATTGAATCCGAAAATCATACCACATCAGAAACAGAGCTGGCTTCGCTAGATTCACTGGTTCTTGGAGATGCTGCAGCAGCCGCCGCTCTGCGTTGTCTTGCCTCTTCCTCTCTCTGTCGAACTGTATTTCTTGGCACATATTCCTCTATTCTGTTTGGTGATTCAAATTTGGATCTTGCTGACTTCAGATCGAGTGACATTTCATAGATAGGTTTTTCCTATCAGCAGAACAGAAAATATTCAGAAACAATACATAAACAATCGAGTTTATAGGTTCGAATATTAGGAATGAGAGTTATTTTAAAACAAACTACTGCTATATCTTTGCTTATTAAGTCAAGTTTGTAATCAATTAAATCACTTGTATCAACTGAAGTTATGAAGACTACATGATGTATGCCAGTTCTATGGTTGAAAACAAGTATTTACCACTCTTTAATAATCCCTGTTAAAAATCTATAAATTGAAATCAATAAAAGAAAAAAAGTAATTAACTAACTCTTGACCCAGCTGTTGTCGACCTCACAATGTCGGGATTACGTTCTGGTGAAAGACTCATTTGAGACTGTGGTCTTGAATCTGCTTTCTCTATTATGATTGTCTTCTTTGGTGGTGATCTACCACGTTTTTCCTAGATACATGAGAAACATTAAAAAACTGTTTTGGGGCCAGTTGGTTGATATCAGTAACATGGCAACACACAACAATCACAATTTCCATATTTTATTCATTTTTATATAGTATTTATCATGTCAGCTTAAAATATAGAAATGACATGTAATAAATATATTGAGCAAAACCATAAAAACAATTCTATCCAAATCCTGGTGGCTTTGTGCTCCATATTGCTGTACGTTTTCGTTTTCCTAAGAATACAATGGTGCTGGAACTTGGAAGGCATTAAGTCTTTTAAATTAATAAATTTAAAACTTGACCTTGATTTTATACTTTTAATTTGTATGGTAAGCTCGGAGAACTACTATGTACCACCAGCCTTAAAAAATAGACATTTTATATTTGTAATACACACTAAAGGGTAATATTCAAAATCATACAATAATGAATGCACCAATTCAAGTGTTACAGCTGTAGGTTTTAAATAATGAATATTTCATTAAAGCATTCATATTGCATTCAAAACTCCGATGCAGCTTCAAAAGTCTTTCAGGGGGAGATGAAATCTAGTTATCCGATCAATAGCAAGTAAGTATAGGTGTGCAATTTCTGTGAATATGATTTTATTGGTAGATATGATGATCTATGTGTGAATATTTTATGATCTTTAAAAGCATGAAAATAACATACGATGAAGCTCACTGACATTTTTTATCATGCAAAACCAATTTTACCAAATATATATTGCATTTAATAAAAAATGAGAATATCATTAACAACTGATGTAATTATGTTTTTAATTGAACTTCTTCCAATGACTCAGAGGCATTGTCGACTCGTTTGGTTTCACCCACTTGTTACCTATTTTATTAAAATATTTACTGCTTTTATTTATAGCTGTAATCTCAACTATCGTTTTTTAGAGTTCACCACAGCTAATATCTGTTAGTCAATGATTGCAGTTCTGGCTAATTATTAGAAGTTCCCCAACAAACATTCACATTCGAAAGGTTGGATAGTCCTACATTATGTACAAAGTCAAAACGAAGAATTTTTATTGACGAATTTAATAAAGACGAGTTAATAACACCAAACTTTGAAAGTGATTCAAATGCATAAAAGCAGGTTTTAGGTGATCTGCCTCAAAATGCATGGAATAAAAGCTGGTCTCAAAATGAGCATCGATGTATTGGAGTATCGTATGAACGTAGTGCAAATTTCAAAATTAAGAATTTAGCCAGAGTTCATGGCAATGTAATGTGTCACAGTAATATTATTCCCACCTGTGGATGCTCGAACATGTCACGTACTGAATGAATGTCAACAGATGGTACAAAATCAACTTCTTCTTTAGTTCCTGCAGGAGGAGGCTTCACAATATCGACACTGCTCATGTTTTCTTCTTCTTGTTTGTTTTCACCTAAATTGTCAGGACCTTTTAATTTAGTACTCAACCGCTTCCCGTCTTCGTAATAATAATTAACTTCGCTATGCTCTAAAACTACGACGTCAGGGTCCCCAAACTTCTTTTGGCTTTTGTTTTTTGCTGACTGTGGAGATTCCCGACCAGATGAACTTGACGCAGAACTTCTGGCACCGTCACGTACTGGTGAAGGTGATTTTGAGCTCGCACTACCAGACCTGCTTCCCCGAAGTATTGGCGATGGAGTAGATTTACTGCGTGGTGGTCGTCTACCAGGACTGGAGCTTAAAGCTGTAAAAACCATTTAAACTTAACATTACTTAATCCAACTAGCTGGCCGTGAGTTTTGTCAAAGACTATCTGTACTTGGAATACACGACCAAATAGGAAGTAATTTACAAACATTGCAACATATCTACCGCATTACCAAAACGAATGCTAGAAAATTATTGCAAGGTGGCGTTTCTGCTTATTGACTGAATTGAATTGACTGTTATCTAGTTCAGGGAGTGAGAAATCGATTTATTACAGGGTTACAT